CTTCTTCTTCTTCTTCTTCTTCTTCTTCTTCTTCTTCTTCTTCTTCTTCTTCTTCTTCTTCTTCTTCTTCTTCTTCTTCTTCTTCTTCTTCTTCTTCTTCTTCTTTTCTTCTTCTTCTTCTTCTTCTTCTTCTTCTTCTTCTTCTTCTTCTTCTTCTTCTTCTTCTTCTTCTTCTTCTTCTTCTTCTTCTTCTTCTTCTCCTTCTCCTTCTCCTCCTCCTCCTCCTCCTCCTCCTCCTCCTCCTCCTCCTCCTGCTGACTTCTGACTTGAGGCACATTGGATATATTATGGAAATAACTAACTCTCTGGAGAAGGCTCTAATGCTGGGAAAGGTGGAAAGAAAGAGTAAGAGACAACCTACTCTTGTGTGGCAATGAGTGCATCGTTGGAAGACCTGAAGGACCAGGTTAAGCATAATCACCATGGAGAAAATCTTTGTGGTTGATAAGAGTCTGTAGTTTCTACAGTAGATGGCACAGAGTCAATAACAATCAATCAATTACAAGGAGAAGCATAGAAAGAAATGGTCTTTGCACAAGAGAGAAATACTGTATATATACTGATTATTTTACAACATAGCCTATGGAAGAAATAGAGCAGAAATCAACCCAATGATGTAAATTGAAATAAATGTGGCCATAACTGAAGGAAGAAACATATGCTCTCATATTTATTACCTATTCGTTCAATTTGTCCCTGCTGCAAACAACAGGACTCTCAAATGGGCACAACAACATATTTGTAATACAATAAAACATCCATAAGGAAATGATCAGAACAGTCCCCCCCTCAAAAAAATAAAATACAATAAGATACAAATAATTTACGATACTTTACCAGTTTCTCTGTTTCTTTAGGCTCTTGGGAACAATTCAATCTTTAACGATTGTGGGAAAATCTATAATGTGAGAGTGTCAGGCTCTAAAACCAAGAAATATCTGAAGTACTCCAAAGCAATTTCCTTTATCGTTCCTCATTTATAGGTGTTCTTCACCTATAGACAGAAATCTTGCCAAACTAAAACACTTGTATCAATAAAAAATATACTCTGAGAATTACTAGGCAGGAGCTGTCTTCACTCTCTTTCTCCTTCATCAACTATCTAAACTTTTCTGTCTCTTGCTCCTCTGGAATTCAGCCCCTCCCTAATGGGAATCAAGACTACATTCCACCACAGTGGGCCACCTTAGTATCTGGCACTTGTTAGAAAGGATGGGTGTAGCTGCAAAAAAAATAATGTATTGTTTCTTCAGCTTTCCAACCTTCTCATTGTCGTCTTCTGGAATCACTAGTCATTTTTCTGGATAAACATGCAGCCAGGATTTGGTTATGACCAAGATTAGATATTTGTTTCTAGAAGTTGATCATTGAATGAAGCCAGAAATAACTGAAGATTCAATCCAGGGATCCATTTGAACATGCTTCTGCCCAGCCGCAAACAAATGATTGACTTCACCTGTAGCAGGATTGAGTCCTTTTGCAAAAATACAACTTGTGAATGCTTTAAGGTACTCCTGCTATGATTGACCTTACTACTCTGTCGCCAAATCTTTTTCTCTCTCTTTTCTTTTATTGCAGAAAAGTTAAGATGCACGTTCATAGCTCCAGTCAAATTACACGGATATATAATGTGATCGGAAGCATCAAAGGAACAGTGGAACCTGGTGAGCTTTGAATGTTGATTGCTTTATTTAAAACAAGAATGGACAGGTTTTGGGTAGCAGGAAACCAAAATGAGCAGGTGTTTAAGGAAGGCAACAATTACAGTGGATGGCATAAGAAGGACTATATATCCCTGATTGTTTGTTTTTGGGGAGGTATTGGAATTATTGCTTTCCCAGTCATATTAATTCTGTTTTAATGGTTATATAGTATCTTCTTGGTTGGTTTCCACTTCAAAATGTTGATGCCTAAGTTCTGAGGAGGGAGTAGGAATTTAAAACAATATCAAGAAATACAGGAGTCAGTAGAAACATCAGAAGCTTTGAGCAAAAATTGATGGCACAGTGGAAGACACGATAGCTGGTCAGTGGCGATAGAGCCGTGGTGGCACAGTGGTTAATGGTTAGAATGCAGTATTGTAGGCTAATTCTGCTGACTGCCAGGGGTTCGATTCCCACCTGCTCAAGGTTGGCTCAGCCTTCCATCCTTCTGAGGTCGGTAAAACGAGGACCCAGATTGTTGGGGGGGCAATATGCTGACTCTGTAAACCACTTAGAAAGGGCTGTAAAGCATTATGGGGTGGTATATAAGTGCTATTGTTATAGCACTTAGAGAAGATTTATAATGCTATACTGTGAAGCACTATAAGTCTAAGTGCTATTGCTTTTGCTAGAATGGAAGAGAGGAATCTTCCAAGGAGACTCACTTTTACCCCTACTGTTTGTCGTTGTGCTGATTCTTCTGTCAACACTACTGAATATCTCAAGCCATGGCTATCGGACCTCAAAGACATCTGCCAGGCTACCCCACCTCCTTTGCATCCATTTCTGAAATAGAAAAGAGAAATCTAACAAGTTTGTTCTGAATTTTATGGAAATGTACTGTTCTTATGCTTCCTTTTCTTAGATAGGCATGTCATTTTTGGAGGCCACAGAGATTCCTGGGTCTTTGGGGGGATTGACCCCACCACAGGAGCTGCTGTCCTTCAAGAGGTTGCCCGCAGCTTTGGCAAGATGATGGAGAAAGGTAAGATTAGTAGATGGAAAAATTGGGAACCCCCATGCAGAGAGGGGATGCGCTGGGATTTAAATGTCAACATGCATTTGAAGTGGATTCTAAGCCACCTTGACCCTTTGCTCAATAAGTGTAGCCGGTTAAATAAAACTAACAAATAAAACTGATGGAATCAGTGACCAGTCATTGCAGGGTGCAAAGATGTCTGACTGCCTTCGCAGTGTTTATTGCTTTTATACAGGTATTCCAAGTAGCATAAAGTAACATGGCATCAGCATAGCAACAACATTTTTATTGGTGAAACCCCTTGCCAATCCTTAAGAATATACCAGCTAGGAGGCCCCAGCCAGGGAGTAGTTTTCTGCAACATCCTGTTGGTGTAAGCTAGCTGATATCATAGGAGCCAGGTGAGGTCATGTATCAGCCTGGGGTAGTTTCCCACATTACCATGGCAATGTGAACGGATGAGATCATGTAGAGAGAAGAGGCATGCAGGCTTTGGAGGGGCAGTTTGCTGCTCACGACCTTTACCTGACCCCTATCTCTACATAAAACAAAATCCTCTTCCAAAGATAAAGGAAGGCACACTAGATGTTTCTACTGAGCAGCTTAAACCTCCTTGGTCATGCTAAAAGGGATTTGTTGGCTTCATTTTTAAACTAACGCAAGCTTATTCGTCCGTAGACATTGATAGGTTTGCATCTTCAGCCATCAGCAGGTAAAGAATTAAGGTTTCCCTGTAATCTCAATTTTTTCTTGCGTAGGTTGGAGGCCAAGAAGAACAATCATTTTTGCCAGCTGGGATGCAGAAGAATTTGGATTATTAGGCTCCACAGAGTGGGCAGAGGTGAGTGAAGGATTTTAAAATGGTGTGATTTATGCACAGGTAGTCCTTGACCTATAACCCCTGAAAAAAAGTGTCTTATGACTGGTTCTCACCCAACTGTTGCAGCATCCCCTTGATCACATGATCAAAATTGGGATGCTTGATCAATGGCGTGTATTTGCGATGGTTGCAGCATCCCAGGATTATGCGATTGCCATTTGTGACCTTCCCAGGTGGCTTCCAACATCCAACAAAGTCAATGTGTTGTTGTTAGTTGCGAAGTCGTGTCTGACCCATCGCGACCCCATGGACAATGTTCCTCCAGGCCGTCCTGTCCTCTACCATCTTTTGGAGTCCATTTAAGCTCACGCGTACTGCTTCAGTGACTCCATCCAGCCATCTCATTGTCTGTCATTCTCTGGGATCGAACTCTGGACTGTGGGCAGAGTTAGCCTGCAATACTGCATTCTAACCACTGTGCCACCAGAGTGCAGCATGATTGGTACATCAGGGGTGAAGAATGCTTGACCACACAGATAATGATGAAGTCCCGGCTTCCATTGGCTGTGGCAATGGGAGCTTCTGGGAATTATAGTTCAGCAACTTTTGGAAAGTTTCCAGTTCCCCACTTTCGATTTATATGCTATTCATGATCGATAGTAATAGGCATAACACAGTTCATTATTTTTCTTTTTCCAATGGCAGGAAAACAGCAAACTTCTTCAGGCAAGGGCTGTGGCTTACATCAACACTGATTCTTCCATTGAAGGTGAATATCCTTTAGTATACTTAATCAACCTTGAGCAATCTTGTAAAACTTGAGTAGGATTCGACCTGGCTAGGACTTGGCTGGGAGATGACCAAGAAATTGTGGGCCTGTGGTCTAGGCCATAAGGTTGAAAAATATTCTGGAAGAAGGTTAAACCGTTTCTATACCATCCAGGAAAATGGCATGGATGTGTTTAAAAAGTTAGGAAAAATTGGACTCAACTCAAAGGAGAATTTTCTTTATAGCAATATCTTGAGAGTCATAGTTTTCCAATCTTGTATTAAGAGATGGATGCAACATACCCATATAGGATCCAAACCTACAATCAAATTATGAGTTTGAGTAGCCACAGTGGTAATCAGTTTAGCCACGGGAACAAAATGTAGTTTGCCTTTTAAGCTTCCCATAAAACAAGCTACAGATTATTTAGTAATTCTATTCTATGTCATTTTAAACCAGATCATACACACAATCCTAGCTTGGACTAGGAAGCTATTGCAAACAGGATTGGAGGCGGTCTGTAGATTAGACTTGAAGAAAAGCAGTGGCAAACCATTTTTTAAAAAAAAATTCTTTTGTTTGGCGCGGGGGGGGGGGGGGAGAAAAGGATGTGGGCATATTCATTTGTCACCAGGAATCAAGGCTGGTTTGAAGGACACCCTTCATACTCTGAGACATTGTAGGAGGAGAAGTGGCAGAGCCTTGGGGGTGGAGTCAAACGAGGAATCAGCCTAGAGTCACTACATAGACGCAAATGGACTTAGTCCAACCCCTCTTTAATAGCAATAGCACTTAGACTTATATACCACTTCACAGTACTTTACAGCCCTCTCTAAGTAGTTTTACAGAGTCAGCATATTGCCCCCAACAATCTGGGTCCTCATTTTACCGACCTTGGAAGGATGGAAGGCTGAGTCGACCTTGAGCTGGTGAGGCTCAAACTGCCAAACGGCTGGCAGCCGGGAGTCAGCAGAAGTAGCCTGCAATACTGCATTCTAACCACTGCGCCACCATTAAGCCTTATCTAGTGCCCAGATAGTGCTAACCATTAGTTAACTAGATTCCTGTATATAAACATGAGCAATAAACCAGTTTAATTGAAACTTAATGTGTGGTCTTGCTCTTTCGTGCCTGATAGACATTGAGACTATACATAGATGGAGACTGCCTCATTCTTAGGCAGATTCTCTTTCCATATTTATTTTCTAATAAGCATCTCTCCATCTTTTGCAGCCCTGCTGGCTGTGCCCACATCCTAATGTACACAGAGCCCCAGGGAGAAGTCCCCTTGAATTTAATTAAGTAACCGGTGTGTCATGGTTCCGACTAATGAAACACTTCAAAGAACTTCCAGGCATTGTTTTCCTAAAAAGTCTTTAATTATGTAACAGAGTGTCTGGCACAGCATGGAGGGATGCCAAGATCTGAATTCCCCTCCCCTGAGCACATATTTTGCCAGCATATTTCCCTCCCTTATTTTGCAGTCATAAATCACGTTCTCCAATCAGTTTGAAGGGCAAAGGTTCCCTTCAGTTTCTGTAGCCTGGGTATTCCTTATCTTAATTAATCCCCACACGCATTCTTTCTCCGCCCATCCCATCTAATTTAACTCTAAAAATACCACACAGCTTATGCAGAGAGCGGCTGCCTCATTATATATTGTCAAAGCAAGAACATCCAGTGTTAGCAGCGTTGACACGGTGATTAAGTGGGAAGCTACAATGAAAGACAGATTGCCAACATCTATCCCTCAGCCACCTTTAAGTAAGGTAAGCATATGAATCCTGCCCTAATTTGTGACAGGGTTTTTTCCCCTGAAATGCCCTTCTCTTTGGGGAAGAAGAAATAAAATTGGAATAATTTCTCTTCCAGCAGCATGAGGGTTAGCAGATATAAAACAGATTTTAAAAAATGGAAAATTCATTTTTAGCGCAGTCAATTGAGCATCTACCTAGCAACAGATGCTCATTTTAAAAACAGATTATTATTATTAGCTGTTCAAATACAGTCTCCTTCATGTTGAGCCTGATGTTTGGTGATTTTGTAGACTTGTTCACACATCCATGCAGTTTTCTTGGCATTAGTAGGGAAGCTGTGCCTTCTTTCTGGATTTATTTTTTAAATTTTTCATCTGTGCTCCAGTCCCTGGATTTGTAGTTTCCCATCCAGATGCTAACCAAGTGAGGTCCTACTTAACTTCTGAACTCCAACATGATTGATCAACATCACTGATGTTAACAGAATAACAGAGTTAGAAGACCTTGGAGGTCTTCTAATCCAACCCCTTGCTCAAGCAGGAAACCCTATACCATTCCAGACAAATGACTGTCCAGTCTCTTCTTAAAAACCTCCAATGATGAAGCACCCACAACTTCAGGAGGCAAGCCATTCCACTGATTAATTGTGCTAACTATCAGGAAAATTCAGCTTAATTTAGGTTGGTTCTCTCCTTGACTAGTGTTATTAGAGCCATGGTGGCGCAGTGGTTAGATTGTAGCACTGCAGGCTAACTCTGCTCATACTGCCAGCAGTTCAATCCTGACCGGCTCAAGGTTGACTCAGCCTTCCATCCTTCCAGGGTTGGTAAAATGAGACCCAGATTGTTGGGGGAGGCAATATGCTGACTTTATAAACCGCTTAGAGAGGGCTGTAAAGCACTGTGAAGCTGTATACAAGTCTAAATGCTATTGCTCATGCTATTGCTATTATAATTACTATTGTTTGATGATGATGATGATGATGATGATGATGATAATGGCATTACAAACTTACATAGAATAATGGTTACTGTACAGGTAGTCCTCGACTTACAATCGGTTGGTTAGCAACCTTTCACATTTCCAATGAACCTATTGGGGGTTACTAATGATTCAGATTTCTGGGGGTTACTGGATTCAGATTTCTGACAGTCAGTGTTCCCCATGTGACCACACTTTAGGCAAATGGCAACTAAGCTCCATGCATGGCCATTTGCAGTGTCCTACAATCGCATGCCAGCAATACTGGGCCAACAGTCAACCTTTGGTTTGCTTAACAACTGAGATACGTACCAAACCACCGCTTATGACTTATGATTACGATCATCATGACTAATCACTGTAATGGGCAGTCTCCATTATGGGCAGTCTGCATAACTCGAGGACCACCTGCACTGAAATTATTGACCTGGAATTAGGAGACAGCATAGGAAGTATCAATTGTGAATATGTGCAGATGGCCCCTCTGTCTTTGGGCACTTTGCAGAGTCCTGGATGCAGGGTCATGAAAGGACAGCAAGGAAAACACCCAATGTCCTAACCCACCTGGGAACATACGATGTCTTTAGGGAAACACCCAAAAGGGAACATTTTTAGCTCTTTCTGCTTTCTTATCTACAGTGTGCCAGATTTACTGGGTGAAATCTTCATCGTATGTGTGTCAGCTTTGCTGGGTGGATTGCTTATGTAATCAGAAAGAATAAATACAAGGATTGCTTGTCATTTGGGGCTTCTCTCTTTTAGAGGAGCCCGTCTTTGTTCAGCTGAATAAAAACGTAAAGCTGAAAGGCAACTTCCGGTTTTCCTGTACTTTTTTTTTTATCAAGCAAAACCTCAGAGCCTGCACAGCAAAATCTTCAAAAAGAGGCATAACAATTCAGTCCATAAGGAATCACCTTTATTTAGAGCTCTCATTGAATTTTTAGGTTGTATTCCACAGCTATGTGTGCACGGTACTACATTCCAGTTATCCAAGTGCAGAAATAATATTGTGGGTTGGTTTAGAATAGAGGAGATGCCGGTGTTTTGCTTTTCTTTTCTTTTTTCTTTTGCCAAGGGATGTCAATTACACAGTCTCCTAGGAGTTGTTGTATGGTTGTGCGTGATATGTGTGTAAGTATCCTTCTGTTTACATGCTAGCTGTCAGAAACCTTATGCCTTGATTCATCCCAAGAGGGGGGAAAATTCCCTGGAGTGCAAGAAGGAGAGACGGTTTGCTTCCCTAAACAAATTCAGTTTGATGTAACGGAGGCTATGTTTCAATTTGATTTTTTTTTCCCAACAAAAAAAGGGTATTTTTTGAGAGGGAACTGTTAACATTGATTCAAAACCATTTCCGTGTTTGTGTTGCAGGCAACTACACTTTGAGGGTTGACTGCACTCCTCTTCTGAACCAACTGGTGTATAATTTGACAAAAGAGGTACGGTTGGACAACGCACAACAATGGGGAAAATATTTTGTTTTGTTTCGAAGCAGGAACGAAAGCACCACCAATTCCAGATGTTCCTCGATGGTTCAGAAGAACCAACATCCAGAGTGTTTGGTTATTCTGGGATGCAGAGGAAATTAAACTCAGGCAGGGCAAGTAGAGGAAGGCCAGTTCACGTTGCCCCCCCCATCCTCCTCTCCACAAACCCCCTTCTCTTCTGGCACTGATGATGTTCCCTACATGGGTCATGAAAGATCTGCAAGAAAATAGCCAAGATCAGAAAGCACCAAAGAGGCCACAGTCGTTGTCGTTGTTGTTGTTGTTGTTGTCGTCGTCGTCGTCGTCCTCCTCCTCCTCCTCCTCCTCCTCCTCCATCATCCCAATCTTAAGCAAAAACAAACTACAAATGTTGGCTATGCCCACTGTATGGTAACATCATTTTTATAGCAATAGCATTTAGGCTTATATACCACCCCATAGCACTTTACACAGCACTCACTGGGTGGTTTACAATGTCAGCCTATTGCCCCCAACAATCTGGGTCCTCATTTTACTGACCTCAGAAGGATGAAAGGCTGAGTCAGCCTTGAGGCAGTCAGGATCGAACTCCAGGCTGTGGGCAGAGTTTGCCTGCAATACTGCACTTTGACCACTGCACCACACAGGGCTCAATGCACAGAGGTTCCAATATTAGTTTGTGGAAAGCACATATAGTCAAGGACACACAATAAAAACTATAGCGTGTAGTAGAAGCACCTGCTTTATTTTTGGCTGTTGCTTTTGATAACACTTCTTGTTATATCAACTTACTGTTAAGTTTGTAACCCAGAAGAATGTCTTGATTGTGCTGGGTAAACCTTCAAACCAGCTAACGAATCAACCAGCTTGAATCTAGAGCATTTAAAATGCTTAAAGAAGTAACAGTATGGATGATAGATCAAGTTCCATTTCCTCCACAGGTCCCGAGTCCTGATGAAGGATATGAAGGAAAATCTCTCTATGAGAGTTGGCTTGAGAAGGATCCTTCCAGCGAAAATAATCAGCGACCCAGGTAAGTTATGCTCTTGTTGTCTACATTTTATTTGCATGCCTGCCCTGGGGACCTTTGCACATATGGGAGAACTACTATAGCTTTTATATCTGCTGCATAACTGTAAAAGCAGTGTGCTTCTATTCTCACATTGACCAGGATCTTGCAACACACTAGGCTAGGACCCTAATGGAGTTGCATCAGAGCACGGTGTTATAAAAGCCAGGGTTGCCTATCCCTGGACTAGGTAATCACATTAAGCTCTAAAATCAGCGGTTCTCAACCTATGGGTCGCGACCCCATTTGGGGTCGATCGACCATTTCACGGGGGTCGCCAAGCAAGGCTGTCCGCCATTTTTTTCCCCTTTTCCGGCGGGTGCCTTACCTCCCTTGGGCTGGGCCAGCTGGTGGTCGGCCTGCTCCGTCTCTGCCGCTTGCCAGCTACACCTCGGCCGGCGCAGGGGGCGGAACCACGCATGCGCGGCACTCCCGGGCAGGGAAAGTCCTCGACTTACGACCGGTTGGGTAGTCCTCGACTTACGACCGGTTTAGTCCTCGACTTACAACTGGTTTAGTCCTCGACTTACGACCGGTTGGGGGTTGCGGCATTAAAAAGGTTGAGAACCACTGCTCTAAAATGGTTCATTTGTTAAAATACCTCCTGCTGTGCAAATATAGCAACTGTAGTGTGTTAATCTGAATTTTACGTGAAGCCTCCCCTTATATTGTTCCCCAGTACTGAACTCAGGCAGTGCACCAGGACTTTTCCAATTCGATAGCTGGGTCACAGGGATCTTTTGGGGTTGAGCTGGGCAGGAATCCAAAGTTAGAGAAATTTGTTGAGCTTCAGTTAGTCTTATGATATGGTTCGCTTGTGAGAAGTGGGAAATTCAGAATACCTTCTCCTGTCCCCCCCCCTTTTTTTTATTTGAAGAGTTTTAAGAGGGAAAAGGAATGCTTTAAGCTTTAAGACCTAAAATCAGGTTGCTTCCTCAGATTGGTCTATTTTTTTTTCTAATTTGGAGTTAGGGGGCAAAGTGAGTGACTTCAGTTCCAAAGAACAATGTCACCACCTATGCTCCAAGTTTCTTACTGGCACAGTGTAACTACCAATTTTTTTTTAAATGCACACCACCATCTTGGGAACACCACCACGCTACTTAACCAATCAGCAAAGATCCATTCTTTTTATCCCCAATATAAAAGTGCCAAATATTACAAGAAGATTGAATTTTGAATTCTTCCCTTCCTTCTCCTATCTGGCCAGGATCAACAAGCTTGGATCAGGCAGTGATTTTGAAGTTTTCTTTCAAAGACTAGGAATTGCATCTGGCAGAGTCCGCTACACTAAAAACCGGGTAAGCCGAACTGCTTGTTTGGAAGCTGTCACTCAAGAGCAGTCGATATATTTATATATTTATCGGTGAATCTATTTCTTAGCTGCTTGAATCACTGAAGCAACTCTTAAGTGATAAACAGGGAGTAGAGATTAAAAACAGAAATGTAGTACTATAAAGAAGGAAGCGTGTCAAACCACATTGGGGAAGAAGGATTCCATAAAACCTAGAACTAAGGAGAAATTTCCTGACAGTGAGAACAATTAATGAGTGGAACAGCTTCCCTTCAGAAGATGTAGGTGCTCCATCACTGGAGGTTTTCAAGAAAAGATTGGACACCCATTTGACTGGAATGGTAAAGGGTCTCCTGCTTGAGCATGTGGTTGGACTAGAAGATCTCCAAGGTCCCTTCCAACTCTGTTATTCTGTGTTCTAAAACAGTCACCAAAAAGGGGGTTATAAATCACTCTGCCCCAGAGCTTGGTAGAACAGCCAAAGCTTTAGGACTCTTCTAAGGCAAATGGAGTCAGGACCATGTAGATGTTGGAGCAGGAGAAGACACTTTTCTAACATTTATTTATTAAACATTATTAATTTATGTATTAAATTACTTGCCACCAATCAGACTGTTGGAGCAACTCTGGGCAATATAAAAATAGTTAAAATTAATAAAAATTAAATAGAGACTAAAACAGCAATTGGTCTTAGACTTATATACTGCCACATAGTGCTTTACAGCACTCTCTAAGTGGTTTACAGAGTCAGCATATTGTCCCCAGCAATCTGGGTCCTCGGTCAACGTTGAGCCCGAGTCGAACTCCAGACTGTAGGCAGAGTTTGCCTGCATTCCAACCACTGTGCCAGTAGAGCTCCTAGATGGGAAGGAAACATGGTCTTCTCTCTTACTCCATCAACCACCTGCAGCATAGGGTACCCCCGTCAGGATCCCGAATCAGCTGGCAGCGTCAGGTTTTAAAGCCCTTCCAGAAGGCTAGAAGGGTGGGCATGGGTCTCCATTCTGGTGGCAAGATGTTCCAAAGGGCGGGTACCACAGTGGAAAAGACTCTTCTCCTACAGCCTTCCAGTCAAAATTCCTTGATTGACAGGATTCGTAGCAAGCTCCTTCTTCTGTACAGGCCAATCCCATCTTGCAAGGTGGCATTATTTCATTGGTGGTTTTACACATCCATAGCAAATAGCAAGACTGAGTCTGACTTGATGACGCCTTTATTTTTGAAAAGTTGAAGAAACAGCCAAGAGGCTCTGCAAAGTAATTAAACTCAGTTTTACATTCTGCAGAGCCTCTAAAAATGGCTTCATCAGAGCTAAGTTGATCTAAAGTACAGCGAAACCTTGCCTTAATCTAATATCCATCGCTCCCAACTGTCAATTTCTATGAGTGTACTTCATCACAGTGATCTACACCTTTTGTAGAAGGTCCTTCTACAAATGTCATAAGTTGGACAAATCATGTCATTTGTATCCCTTGCATAATGCCATAATTCCACAAGCGGTATAAATCACCCTGGATGTTTTAAATTGAAGTAAAATTAATGTAAAGATAAGCGCCTTGTCCTGACTATTTGGGATGCTGTGGACTTACCTCTTGGTTGTTTTTTTTGTTTGTAAAATTTTTATTAATTTTTTCCATACAATTCAATAGTACTTATTCAACAATGTGTTGTCTGAGTGTATCATTCACTAATACAAATTTAATTCCTAATCCTTTATTCTTTTCTCCAGCCATTGATAAAAACAAGTCCCAAGTCTGATAGTATTCTGTTTCTTCTTTTTCTTTCAACCTCATAGTAAGTCTGTCCATTTCCGCACATTCTAATAGTTTTTTAATTATTTCTTCCTCTGATGGTATTTCTTCCTTTTTCCAATATTGTGCAAATATGATAGTTGCCGCTGTTATCACATGTAAAATCAAATATATACTTTGTTTATCTTTTTTTCTTATTTTTTGTTATCATTAAGTTGGAAGGGATCTTGAAGGTCATCTAGTCCAACCCCCTGCTCAGGCAGGAAACCCTATACCATTTCAGACAAATGGCTGTCCAGTCTCTTCTTAAAAACTTCCAGTGTTGGAGCATTCACCACTTCTGGAGGCAGGTTGTTCCACTGGTTAATTGTTCTAACTGTCAGGAAATTCCTCCTTAGTTCTAGGTTGCTTCTCTCCTTGATTACTTTCCATCCTTCAGGCGCTTTGGAGAATAGCTTGACTCCCTCTTCTTTGGGGCAGCCCCTGAGATATTGGAAGACTGCTATCATGTCCCCCCTCGTCCTTCTCTTCATTAAACTAGACATACCCAATTCCAGCAACCATTCTTCATATATTTTAGCCTCCTGTCCCCTGATCATCTTTGTTGCTCTTCTCTGTACTCTTTCTAGAGTATATATACATATATACATTTTATTAAATGTATATATGAAATTACTGTGGAACATTGCAACAATTGTCACATTTTTCATGGCCACTGTAACTTTAAATGGTCGCTAAAGAAATAGCAGTATAATACCTAATTAAAAAAAGTTCAGGTTTAAAATCTACATCTTTTCCCAACATCTTTTCTAGCCAAGTATGTATTTTTTTCCCAGTACCTCTTTGCTTTAACACATGTCCACCATACATGATAATAAGTACCTGACTTATGTTTACATTTCCAACATCAGAAGAGGGAGTCAGGCTATTCTCCAAAGCGCCTGAAGGCAGGACAAGAAGCAATGGGTGGAAACTAACCAAAGAGAGAAGCAACCTAGAACTAAGGAGAAACTTCCTGACAGTTAGAACAGCTAACCAGTGGAACAACCTGCCTCCAGAAATGGTGAATGCTCCAACACTGGAAGTTTTTAAGAAGAGACTGGACAGCCATTTGTCCGAAATGGTATAGGGTTTCCTGCCTGAGCAGGAGGTTGGACTAGATGACCTCCAAGGTCCCTTCCAACTTTATCATTATTATTATTATTATTATTATCTATCTGAGGACCTACCTCTTGGTTTTGAAGAGATGTCTGGATGGAAATTTGAAACTTTTGTAGGTGAATATGGACTTCATTCTGCTGACTCATTTAACTTTCTTTTTTTTTTTACAGAAAACGGACAAATACAGTAATTATCCAGTCTACCACACTACCTATGAGACTTTTGAACTGGTCAAGCGGTTTTACGATCCCTCTTTCCGGAAGCAGCTGACTGTGGCTCAAATACGGGCAGGCTTGGTCTATGAGCTTTCTGATTCCCCAGTCCTTCCTTTCCATTGTCAGGATTATGCAGAAGCTTTGAGAGTCTATGCCAACGAAATCTATGATCAGGCCAACAAACACAAAGCAGAACTTGACAAGTACGAAGTTTCATTTGGTGAGGCTTCTCTTGAACGTAACTCGGAATCCATAAATTTATGCTTGAGCTTTTTATCGACTATCATTCGGTCCACCAAGGATAAAATCATAGAATCTTTTTTTTAAAAACATATTTTCTTTGATCAACAAAAATAAAACACAAAACAAAAAGAACAACAACAGAAAAACAAACACTGGTAGCGAAAAGAAAAAAAAATCTTGTGTACAAAAAAAGGAAAAAGAAAAAAAACCCCAAAATGTCATATAAATCTAATATTAAACATAAAGAATCCACCCCAGCTGCATGCTGAAAAATAAATAAATAAATAAACTAATAGGTTCTCTTCCCCTGATATGATGGGTCTACAAATAGTTATAAACTTTCCCATCCATAATTATCAAAAATGCTGTATAAAATAAACAAATATTCCAGATGTGGAAATCTATCTAATAAGCAAATTGATCCAACATCTAATCATATTTTATACATATATGTTCTATTCTATTCTATTCTATTCTATTCCCATTCTCTATTCTATTCTATTCTATTCTATTCTATTCTATTCTATTCTATTCTATTCCCATTCTCTATTCTATTCTATTCTATTCTATTCTATTCTATTCTATTCTATTCTATTCTATTCTATTCTATTCTGTTCTATTCTATTCTATTCCCATTCTCTATTCTATTCCCATTCTCTATTCTATTCCCATTCTCTATTCTATTCTATTCTATTCTATTCTATTCTATTCTATTCTATTCTATTCTATTCTATTCTATTCTATTCCCATTCTCAATTCTATTCTATTCTATTCTATTCTATTCTATTCTATTCTATTCTATTCTATTCTATTCTATTCTATTTCTATTCTATTCCATTCCCATTCTCTATTCTATTCCCATTCTCTATTCTATTCTATTCTATTCTATTCTATTCTATTCCCATTCTCTATTCTATTCTATTCTATTCTATTCTATTCTATTCTATTCCCATTCTCTATTCTCTATTCTATTCTATTCTATTCTATTCTATTCTATTCTATTCCCATTCTCTATTCTATTCTATTCTATTCTATTCTATTCTATTCTATTCTATTCTATTCTATTCTATTCTATTCTATTCTATTCTCTCTCTCACACACACATATGTAAAGAAAGTAGTCAGTAGGTTAACCCAAACGTTATTCTAATCTTCAAATCCCTCTGCCAACCATCTGTTATTGTATTTAACACATAGAGAGTCCACAGAATAATAGAATCTGAAAGATTTTTAAATGCCATTTAATTAGTTCCTATGTTTGGCAAAGGAAATGTGATGCCAAGGTTGCTGAGGGGGAAAAAATCCAGAAAAATATCCCCCCCAACCCAGCCCGTACATTCCTATAGGAAAGGCTGTTGGGCAGGGGGCTCAATACAGTGCCAGCTCCTCCATCCTGAGCCCCTTTCCCTCTTCCTTCTTGGTCATGTGACCCAAAACAGAGCTAGTTTGATGGTGTTAAAAATGAATTCCAGAAGCGGCGCGAGACCATCTTTCTCTATCTCATTTAAACTCTTGTTGCAACTCTTCTGTTCGTAGATGCCCTTTTTTCTGCCGTGAATCATTTTGCAGCTGTAGCAACAGATTTTCACCGCAGGCTTTTCCAGCTTGACATGAATAAGTAAGTTTAATATTTCTGGAAAAGTTAATGCAGCTTTATAGGTGTTATGGATAATCATTTATTCCTTCAAGTTTAGGAGAAAGCTTTGCTTACACATCACAGTGCTTCAGCACTGTGTAATAGACTTTCAACTCCCAGAATTCATGGGTGACTAGGGAATTCTGGGAGTTGAAGTCCACCCCATCTTAAAGTTGTCAAGGCTGAGAAACACTAAAGAAGAGGGAGTCAAGCTATTTTCCAAAGCGCCTGAAGTCAGGACAAGAACCAACGGATGGAAACTAACCAAAGAGAGAAGCAACCTAGAACTAAGGAGAAATTTCCTGACAGTTAGAACAATTAACCAGTGGAACAACCTGCCTCCAGAAGTGGTGAATGCTCCAACACTGGAAGTTCTTAAGAAGAGACTGGACAGCCATTTGTCTGAAATGGTATAGGGTTTCTTGCCTGAGCAGGGGGTTGGACTAGAAGACCTCAAATGTCCCTTCCAATTCTGTTATTCTGTCTCCTGTATTCTGTCCCCTGATACTTTCCTCTGCCTTGTATCTTTTACAGTCCCATTGCTGTACGGAGCATGAATGATCAGCTGATGTTTCTAGAGAGAGCTTTCATTGATCCTCTTGGTTTGCCAGGCAGACCATTCTACAGGTAAAGCATCTGAGTACAGTAAGACCTTTTGGCCAAGTATGGCTTAGCAACTCTTGACTTTTTTTCCCCTGTGTCTAGGTTGTCCTCAATTGAGACAATTGTGAGTTTCTATTGCTAAGCTAGGTGGTTGTTAAGTGAACTGCGCCCCATGTTGCAATCATTTTTTCCTCATGGTTGTTAAATGGGTCACTTTAGTTGTTTAGTGAATTATGAGGTCATTAAGCTTCCCCATGGACATTGGCTTCCCCATTGACATTGCTTGTCAGAAGCTGGCTGGCTAGGTTGCAAATAGCAACAGCACTTAGAATTATATGTCACTTCATAGTACTTTACAGACCTCTCTAAGCAGTTTACAAAGTCACCATATCGTCCGCAACAAGCTGGGTCCTCATTTTACTGATCTTGGAAGGATGGAAGGCTGAGTCAACAGCGAGCCGGTCAGGATCGAACTCCAGGCAGTGGGCAGAATTAGCCTGCAGTGCTGCATTCTAACCACTGCGCCACCATGGCTCAAATAGCGAACACGCCGGTAACCAAATGTCGAAATTTTAATCACATGATTGTGGGGAAGCTGCCACGGTCCTAATGTGAGAACTGGTCATAAGTCATTTTTTTTCAGTGCTGTTGTAATTTCGAACAGTTGTTCAACAAATAGTTGTATTCAAAAGTCAACCTGCCCAGAACATTTGCACTTGGAAGATAATGGATTTTCTTAGTAGAAGAAGAAGTAGTGAAACAAAGGTGGATATTCCACATTCAGTTGGCAAAACAATAGCAATAGGACTAAGACTTATATACCACTTCATAATGCTTTACAGCCCTCTCTAAGCGGTTTATTGCCCCCATTAATTTAGGTCCTAAGTTTACCGACCCTGGACGGATGGAAGGCTGAGTCAACCTTGAGTCGGTCAGAATCAAACTCCTGGCTGTGGGCAGAGTTAGCTTGCAATACTGCATTCTAACCACTGTGCCATCACAGCTTCAATAAAATATAGTCCCTCCTGTGAGGTATAAGCAGTGGTGGGATTCAAATATGTGAACAACCGGTTCTCTGTGTGGATCCCACTTCCGGAAGTCCATTCTGGGCCTGGGCAACAAAAAATTAGCTACCGGTTCTGCCGAAGTGGTGCAAACCGGTTGAATCCCACCACTGGTGGACATTTCCCTTTGTGAAATTCTTGCTGATGCAGCTTCAGAAAACAGCTACTGTATATTGTTCTGTTTGTTATATAAGGTGAAGTTATTTTTTGTTTTTTTAAAAAATCTTTTGATTTCAGGCTGTTTTGTTAAGGATCTGTTTTTAAGGCTGTCCTGTTGTTTTCTTACGCTCTGCAAGCTTTCGCAGAAGGCACTTTTTAAAAGCCTGACATTTAGAGTTAAGATTATTATCTGGCACAACGTCCCAAAGGTGCTTTTCAAAAGGCAATTGGACTTTTCTTGGGGGTTTTTTTTCCTTGAAAACCTTTCGTTTCCCCTCCAAGAAGCTTTTTCATTTTGGCTCAGTTTGTGCAACTTTGCTAATTATTATTATTATTATTTTTGCCTCTGTCTTCTTGCTCTACAGACACATCGTTTTCGCTCCAAGCAGTCGCAACAAATACGCAGGCATGTCCTTCCCAGGGATCTACGATGCTCTTTTTGATATCGGCAGCAGGACAGATCCACACAAAGCTTGGAAGGAAGTCAAGAGGCAGATCGCCATTGCGGCCTTCACGCTGCAGGCTGCTGCAGGGACTCTGGAAGAGTCTTCTAAGACAACGACAGCAGAATAGAAGCGGCCTATTTGATTTGTACGGCCGGAAAATTTATATTATGCGGGCAATTTTACAATCCCAGCACATTCATGGTAATGCAGCTTCCAATACGGGTGATTTTGAAGACTGATCCAAGTGGGGGAATGACAATTTGAAGTCCACCTTTTTACTCCAATACAGGTAGTCCTTGACTTATGACCGCAACTGGGATCAGAATTTTTGTTGCTAAGCAAAGCGGTCGTTGAGTCACACCCAATTTTTATATTTTTTGCAGCGGTGGTTATCTCAAAGATGCTTTTTCAAGAGGCAACTGGACTTTGTTTTTCTTTGAAGATGTTTCGCTTCTCATCTAAGAAGCTTCTTCAGTTCTGAGCTGAGGAAGCTTCTTGGATGAGAAGTGAAATGTCTTCAAAGAAAAACCAATAATAATAATAATAAAGTTGGAAGGGACCCTGGAGGTCATCTAGTCCAACATCCTGCTCTGGCAGGTAACCCTATACCATTTTGGACAAATGGCTGTCCAGTTTCTTCTTAAAAACTTCCAGTGTTGGAGCATTCACCGCTTCTGGAGGCAGGTTGTTCCGCTGGTTAATTGAAAGTCCAGTTGCCTCTTGAAAAAGCACCTTTGGGACAACCATGACCTGGATGACTGAGAATCTCCATAGACACAATGGTTATTAAGCAAATGATTGTAGTTGCTTAGTGAATCAAAGGATAGTTAAACAAATATGGCCTCCTCCATTGCCTTGTTTGTCAGAAACTGGCTGGGAAGGATGCAAATGGCGATTACAGGACCACAGCACACTGTAATTGTTGTAAATCCATGCCAACTGCTCAAATTTTGATCACGTGATCGTGGGGACCCTGCAACATTCGTGAGAGGATCGACTGCAAGTCACTTTTTTCAGCTTTGCTCTGACTTTGAACTGTTGCTAAATGAACGGTTGTTAAGTCAAGGACTATCTGCATTTAGTTGCTTAAGGCAATCCCAAACATCTAGCTTCAAGTGATCAAGCCTAGGGATGTCAACATTGCTCGGTCCCAAAAAATTGGGATAGTTGATTTCACACAGCCCCTGGCTGCTTTGGTGTTTTGGATTATGCGCAAAATACAACGAAGCTGTTTCTGCTCGTTGCATGAAACAAAATATAGCTGTTTTCTTCTGAGCACAAATGTCGAACATAGAAGTGGGGGGCGGGAAAGAAACGAAATTGTTGGCCGAGTGGAAGATACGTAACAGTAGCAGAAGCACTGGAGAGAAGACACTTGAAAGATCTGGGGGCAGGCAAGGGAGCGGGACATACTAGAATGGGTCATCAGGGATGGCAGTTAAAGAGAGATGCTCTTTGGAAAATTTGGAGCGATGGATTATGCAGCTCAGGAAGCCCATGGTGGCGAGGGAGAGGTGGGAAGGTCCCCAAAGTGCTTTTTCAAAAGGCAACTGGACTTCCTTTATTTTTCCTTGAAGACGTTTCGGTCCTCATCCAAGCTTCTTCAGTTCCGACTGAATGGTGGAGAACGGAAGTATTTATGTTCCTTGCAGTCATCCGGTCCTTAGCACTCTCTCTGAGAATCGTTGAGGCCACTTGGAGGTTTATCTGTGCCCTCGGGCTCACCTGAATAGCGCAAATGGGTGTGGAACCTTGTTGGAACTGCTGAAAGGACAGTGTTGTAAACAGGAGATAGGTGGTGTCCCTCCCGCTCTGTATCAATCTTATTGTACATGGGCTCTTTGACCCCTCTTTCTGGACAGAGAAGACGATTAGTTTGAAAGAGAGATCAAAGAGGCCGTCTTATGTTAAAATTGAGCCGCCCTCTCTCAATACCTACCTACCTATTTACAACAATCTTTTCAGTAGTTCCAGAACATCCCACCCCCATTTGCGCTATTCAGGTGAGCCCCAGGGCACGGATAAACCTCCAAGTGGCCTCAACGATTCTCAGAGAGAGTGCTAAGGACCGGATGACTGCAAGGAGCATAAATACTTCCGTTCTCCACCATTCAGTCGGAACTGAAGAAGCTTCCTGGATGAGGAGCGAAATGTCTTCAAGGAAAAAGAAAGGAAGTCCAATTGCCTTTTGAAAACAACTATGACTGGTTGGATGTCTGGGAATCTCCATAGAGAGGTGCCTATGTGCACAGCCTTGCCCTAGTCCAGGGGTAGGCACCCTTGGCTGTTTTATGACTCGTGGACTTCAACTCCCAGAATTCCTGAGCCAGCCATGCTGAGGGGAGAGTGAGACGTTTCCAAGCTGAGCCATGCTGGCTGAAGAATTCTGGGAGTTGAAGTCCACCAGTCATAAAAGAGCCAAGGTTGCCTACCCCTGGCCTAGAGATTGGGCTTGACCTGCAACTTGGAACAAGTCCCTTTTTGAGAGAGAGAGGTGGGCAGCTCAGAAGTGTGAAATATAAACAAACAACTGAAAGTGTTGTGGGATTTCGTTCTCCCGAATCAGCGGCTGACTTGAAGGTTTCAGCAGGGCCTCTGGAATGCAATACTGGTAGTCTTCAACCTTAACAGAGCCCAGAAGTATGGTTGTAAGTCATTGTGGGTGTTAAGTTGAGGCATCCCATGACTGGATTTGAAGCTACGACCCATTTTTACGATTAAACAAATGCAACGGTCATTAAGCAAATAGGGGGTTTTTTCCCCTGAATGGGCGCTTTTTTTTTTTTGGGCTGGAAACCAGAAATAAAGGCTGGCAAAAAACAAAACAAAAAGGTTGCAAATTGTGATCATGGCCCTAAAGTTGCCAAGCACCCAAAATGCAACCATGTGATACAAAGGATGTGTGTGTGGCCATTATAACCCTGAAAACAGGTCATAAGTAGCTCTGGGGAGGTCGGCTGTAACTTCATTGTTAAGGACCAATCATAAGTTGAGGAGTATCTGTAATTTATTCCATGTCAGATACAACACGTTTTTCATATCTTGTGTACATTCCCATGTCAAATGTCATTTACATGTTACCTCCAAACAGAGTGGGTTTTTTTCGCCCCTAGCTTAATAGAATAGGATTCAGCTTTCCTCCAAATGGTATTCTTCAGATATGTTGAGGCCACATTGCTCATTGAATACAACTAACATCAAACCAGGTTGAGAAAGAATGGGGTAGATTGATCCTCTGTGGAAGCTGATTTTGTTTTGAGAAATATATGCCTGAACTTTGCTTAAAGCGACCTATAAGTAACAGTTGTTCCAGATATGATAAAAGCATTCTCTATGGGCCCTTCCATGGTATTAAATTGCCAACGGCTTTGATGGAAATAGTCAATAAAATACATCCTCTGCATTGTCATCCGCAAACTTAACACAATCTAAGTCAGAATACTCAACTAATCTTTTATGGATCTGAGCAACCAGGTCTTCTTACATGCAACAAATAAATATACAAACAAATAAATGAATAAAATATTCTCACAATTCTTCGAAAAGGTAGAAATTAGGCACTAAACTGTTTATTTCAAAATTGATAAAAAATATCTGAACGCATGAAACCACAAACATCCTCCAATACAATTTAAAATGAACATCCATGCATAGGAAAAACCAAAAAAAAATTGAATTTTTTTTTAAAAAAAACCTAGTGTTCCAGACACCCTTCTTCATTTTTCATGCACAACTGAAGTTCTTAGATAGGTATGAAAAAAAATTAACAGCCACTGATTTTGTTTTTTTTTAAAAAAATTCCCATGCTATAATTTAAAGCAAATATTTTTATTAGTATACAGAATAGATTATTTTTTTTTCCCAAGGCAAAACCAGCAGTACTGACTGTGGAAATGATGACTTGGCTGCATAGCACTAATATCTGAATATAATTTGATCCCAATTCGAACATACTTTGCGTTAAGAATGCCCATGCGTTTTACGTGGAAAGAAGTGATTCAACTATAAACATGAAAATTGTGCTTGAAATGGCACAGAGTCCACTGAGCAATTGCCCAAATTAAGACCTACAGGAGGCCTTGCAATTTTAACACTCCAAGCTAAAAGATTGATCAGCTTTTCTTGCCCAATAACAGGCATCCCCAACTGTGGCAACTTTAACTTCAACTTCTAGAATTTCTCAGCCAGGAGCTGAAGTCCACAAGCTGCTAAAGTTGGGGACTCCTGCAATAGGAGACTACAAAAATGGCAAAAAATGTTGGCAAGTCCCTTCAGGAATACACAATGGTGGGAAAGATTCCACATCATGAATCTATCCCTAAATAAGTGTGAACCACAGAAGGCTGTGGAAATTGTTCACTTCACTCAAGTGCCACCTGCTTATTCTACGGGCAACAACAACAACAACAACAACAAAACAGGAAAGTTACAGTGAGGTAACTTAGTGGTTAAAAACCAGACTTTATCAAAGCAAGTAAATGAACACGCAATGACAATCTGGAGAGTGGAGAACTGCTCTCCAAAGGCGCCTGCAGCCATTGGTTTCAACTCTTGCTAGCACCGTTGTGTCTTTGAACAAAGCTATGCAACATGAATTGGATCCAAGTGTCATGCTAATGAAACATGACAATGCTGGGAAGCAGGGAAGCAAAAATACACTGTTAACAAAGTGCAACCATTTGATATTCTGAGACTAAATTGATCTCTTGTTGGAAAATTGCCCCCCCCCCATAAATTTTTAAGTAGACAATTAGGATCAACTTGGATTTGTTGCACGGTCTCCGCCAATTCTTACATGCTATTTTAAACCATGGCTTTGCCCTTGAAGGGCAACCTTTTTTTGGGGGGGGGGGGGGGGCTTTCAAATCTCAGAAGATGAGTTTGTACTCACCATGCTCTACTTTGTCTGCAATTAAAGTTCTGCTTGACCTGTCTTTATGCAATTTGTCGTCTTGCTCAGGGGTCAAGCCATAGGAAGTATCTATAATCACCAAAAGAATCTGCTGGCAGTGACTGAATGGCTTCTCCACACACTTGAACGCAGGATACTTGTATTCAAGGGTGATTGGGGTACAGTGTGGTGGCTTTCAGGCAGAAATTCAAACAAGCAGATCATCCAGATCAGAAAAGCAGATGCTCCAGAGCTAACACTGGAGCACAAAGG